TCTTGCTTCAGGCAAGTAGTTGGGAGAGAATGAAAAGAGGTTGGGGCGTTTTCTCTGAATCAATGCTCCTAATCAGACAGCTTCTGAATCACCTGCTTCATAAACAAAATCAGCCAAGCACATTCTACATTGCGTTCAGAACATGACATTTCTAGATTGAGAAAGGTGAAATGTTATAAATGAATACTTATCCTTCCATGCACATCTATTTCTTTGGACCCACAGTGCCTTACCAATGAAACAAGGTACAACTAACTATTTATGCTTGAAGGAGTTAATTCAATTTGAAGGGGGCAGCTCATTGGTTTAACTGGGTAATCCTCCACTTTCAAGTACAGGCATCCCATTTGGCCACTGGTTCTTGTCCTGGCTGCTCCAACTCCAATTAAGTTCCCTGCTTGTGGCCTGGTAAAGCAGTGGGGGATGGCCCAGGGCCTTGAGACCCTGCACTGCCTGGGAGACATGGAAGAAGCCTCTGGATCCAGGCTTTGAATCGGATCAGTTCTGGACATTGCAGTCATTCTAGGAGTGACCCAGGAGATGGAAGATTGAAAAATCTTTGTCTCTCTTTATCTGTGTAAAACTGCTATTCCAATGAAAATGGATAAAATCTTTTTTTAAGAGTTAATGCAATTTGAAGCAAGATCAGGTTTCCATCAAATATCTATGAACTAGTAATTTCTAACACAGAAATATCCAGTGTGCATACATCCTTTTCTTGGAAATATCTTTTTTTAATTATTATTAGCAACAGTATCAGAGAGACTCTAAAAACTCTTTAAGAGTAAGGGTAAGACACATTTCTTACTTTTCAGCACTGAGCACTGTCTTAATAGGAACCGGATTAAAATGAGGCTTAAGTCTACAAAGACTGATTATTATAAAGCACTTTACTCTTTTCTTGACAGTTTGACATCTAATTCCATAAAAGGGCAGATACAGTGTGATTCGGTCTGTGGTACGTGTGAAGGAACAGAAATGCAGATCTGCATTTTATTTCTCAGGTGTCACTGATAAACCGTATTTCATTTTCTGAAAACACTCAAGCATAAATGTGCTAGAGTGCTGAGATTCCCTGCCACTGCCATTTCCTCCACAGGCATTAGAGGGAATTCTTAACCATAATGCAGACTGAAGATTTTTTTATTAGACAATTTTCTAGTTCTTAGCTTTATAATCATGAATTTTGATGAGGGGGAGGAGTGATAAGGCCAAGATTGGCAGAAATAAGGGAATTAATTTTCTGCCGTATTTGTACAAAACTCATTTCTGTAGAATTTTCCAAATATTGCATTGTTCAAGCATATTGCACAATTGACATGTTTAACTATAAAATTTAACTGAACAAGCTGTATCTATGTAGTATTAACCCCTTAAATATTTACAATGCCATGTTTACTTAACTTAGTGATCACTATACATGCAGCTGTATTGCATCTGACAAAGCACAGCCAGACAGATCTCAAACTGGTATCAGTGGACATTGAATGCTTAAATCAGATGCTTAAAATGTACATGGGAAATACAACTTAAAAAAAGGCAGATATGAAACCTGAGCACAGGCTCTACTCTTTTGAGAAACCAGCTCACATGTAGCTGAAACACATTTCAATGTTTCCATTTTGCTTTCTGTATAGGTGTAGACTCACCAGATGATTTGGCTTGTTTATCTGCAGTGAATTTAATTTGCTTTCGCATACATATGTGCTGCTAATATTCCACTACATTCCTTTGGCACTCAGTCTTACTGAATGGTAATACTGACCACATCTTGGATCTCCTGGTGTTGGGACATGTTGCTGTTTACTAAAAATAAATTAGCAAAGCTCAAAACTCCTCTCCAACCTCTGAATATAAAGTCTACCAGATTTTAGTTATTTTAAAAATATGTGTAATTATGTTTTCTCTCCTAGTTCAACGATCTGCATGCTCTTTCTTTAGAGGATTAGAAGTAGATCTTTATTTAACAAAAGAGTAAATAAATTTCCACAGTTTTATATGAAATTAAAATAATGGTAACATTTTATAACTTTTACAGGATGTAGATATGGCAATAAGGCAAATAAGCGTGTATGTCTCACCTCTGAATTTTTTAATGCATATATGTACTGTTTAATTCTGATATCAATCCAAAAACATATGGTTTTAGTTAAACATGCTATCTCTTAGAAGACATTTGAGAAATTATATTGGATTATTTCCTTGTTTTTGTCACTTAATATTTCAATGCACTGAAGATTGTTTCCAACTAAAGATTAAGTGAAACTCATCCAATTTGTGTTTGCCACAACTCCTTGAGAATTTGTGTGGGGATGAAGATTTTGTTTGTGTTAACATTTGACAGCATTAGTGTGTATAAAGCAACTTGTCACTACTTGTGATTCAATCAGCTTTAGTTGTCAAAATGACTTGGACTACATATTTTATGTATAAGCAGTCTTCCGCCTTGTTATTTTGTGGGATAAGGTAGATTACCCAGCTTGTTATTTTGACACAAGTTTACAGAATTACTATGCTTCAGTTCACAACAATGCATGAAGTTCACTATTGACAGTACTGTTTCAACTTACTGATGTCTAACACAACAGACTTCAATATATTTTCATAAGCTCTGTTCTGTACAGCTACATATCTTCATGTCCCACATGTCTTAAATCTTAAACACCAGTGTTAATACTTCAGGGTTTACTCAGTCCATCTTCTCCTAACTTTTTTTGAAAATATTCTTGCCTGTTTTATTCCATAGAGAACATTCACAGATTAATTCTGTGGTCTCCTAAAACTTGACATCTTTCTTTCCATGTAAATAGCAAGTGAAACATTATTGTTAACATCCGTCAACTCACAAAAGGACGAGGAAAATTCACTACTGATGCGCCTCTCTCTTCTATTTGTACTGTAAACAGGCTTATGTTATTACGTTTCCTTTATCTGGACACATTTCTTCAGCATTTCCAAGCAACTATGATTTAATTCCCTTGCTATCAGAAACAGATTTTTTTGCTTCACTAATAAATGATCCTCTCAAATACATACTTTGATCACAGCCTCAATTTTTGTTTTCTTTTTACAGTTCTGTGAAGAAATAAAGCTTTCTTCAGATACTCCATTCAAAATTTCTAATTCTTCCTATGAGTTTTCTTTCTATACTTTTTTCTTTACACTTTGATGAAGAAGCTATGCTGTGTTGAGACACTCCATCTTAATTTTCTATTTCGTTGGACTGTTGCTTTCATAGCTGTTGGGATATTGTGATAAATGCTTAAAATGGGTAATATCAACAGATGTTGTATTATTTTGTACTGCCATGATTTAATAAGCATGATTTACCGTTTAATTTTATAACAAAATCGTTTCTGCTTGATTGTCTTGAAAGCATGATATTCCATACCTGGCTTTCTCCTTTTGTCTTTGTCCTGGGCAGGCATTGGTAATAATCCAAAAAAAAAAAAAATCTGTCATGTTAAGGTGACACATGTGGCACTTGAAATCTGTCAAATAATATATGTATCACTGCAATTTGCAGTGTGTTGAACAGTGATGTGAAGTCATGAGGGTGTGGCGCAAGGTCTCTTCCACAAAAATCCACCTCCATTAAATATATCACAAAATTGTCCAGCAATCATTGAGCTGGATTTTCTCAGCTTCTTTGGAAAATCTATCCTTTTTATATACCAAATGATAATTGTTAGCTACTTTGCCTTATATGACAATATTACATATATCTGTATATTTTCTGATATGTGTGTCATATACATTAAGCTTTCAAAACCAGAGAAAACTTAGCTAAATATTTATTTTTAGCTGAATGTTTAATCTGTTGTTTAAGTCAGCCATATTCTATAACTGAGTACATAAGTTCAGTTCCTGGCTCCAACTCTATTTCACTTTCCTCCTAATGCAAACTCTGGAGGTTAATGCTGTTGATTCAAATGATCATCCAACATTTGGGAGACCTCCTGGGTTCAGACTTCTGAAACCGACACAGCCCAAGTGCAGTCACTGCTTGCCTTGGTAGGCATTTGGAGAATGAATCATCCAATTGCTTCTCTCTTTCTCTCTCTCTCTCATTCCTTCTCTGTCTCTGCCTCTCAAAAACTTTCACTCCATCCAGTGGTTAAGGATGCTCTTTCCACACTTTGCAATACTTGGGTGCAATTCCCAGATCCATCTCCTGGCTCCAATTGAGATTCAGGGAAGCAACAATGAGGACTCAAGTCTGCAACACCTGGATTGAATTCCTAAATCTTCAAGCTGGCATTTGGGGTTTGACTCAGTCATGGGGACACTCACTTTCCTCTTTCATTTCCTGCTTATCCTTTTCTGCCTCTCAAATAAGGGGAAAAAAAAAATATATATATATAGGTATATATATATATATGAAAGCAGAGAACATACTCTTGCCTAAGGTAAATTAAATGGATACAAACATATTTTCAAGACACTGATAATTATCCTCAGCTGATAGGCTAGTAGCTGTGTATTGCTTCATAAAATCCTTGGAATTTATCACATTCAGTAAGTATTTTTGTTTGGTACATAGCAAATTTGCATTGTGGTGGCACACAAAGGATAGATTTTAATTTGAGACAATGGTGCACTCAGAAACATAGCCCTTAAAGTCATTCAGTTGTGAAAGTATTAGACTGGAAGTCTCTCCAGCTTAAATTTCTTCCACTTAAATATTTTAAATTGTCCTTCACAATCCCATTCATATGCATAATAGACCACTTATGTGTAAACCTGAAATGTCAATTCCATCAGAAAATAAGTGTGCTTTTTCCCTCTCTCTCCTATTTTAATTTCTAGTAGCTAAAGCTGTTCCTGGCACATTGTAAACCCTCAATAGCCTGTTTGTTATGAAATATAATGTCTAGAAACAGTTTTCTCAAAAAGTATTGTATGTACCTGTGTCTTATTCTTATGTAAAATGCAAGAGATATTTTTTCACTTCCAACAGACAGCTTAAAATATTTCTATGTTTTTCTTTCCTTTTAAAGACAATGAAGGAGGTGGTACGCTCTCACACCCCCATCAAAGAGTCAACCACTGTGGAGATCTGGACTCATCCTCAACCACAGGTATGAAAGAAATACTTCTTTACAAAAAAAAAAAGTACCCCTATTGTTTTTAAACTATTCTTATTAACAGTTAAGAAAATGCTGTGTATCAGTGTCCAAAGTATGAAGTTACTTAAGGAGGCTTTGTGTGGGGCCCGCATATTGAAAGTATGACAATAAATTTGAATTTCTTTCTAGTGTAGTTTGATAATATTATTGAAGGTGAATTTTTTGATCAAGTACAATAATTCCTCTAAGATAGTCTCCTAAATAAATCTTCTATGGATGCCTAAAAATAATTCTTGAGATCTTGGATTTATAAAAATTGAGATCTAGTATCTAATATGATTTAAATTTCAGGTCTAACAACATAGTACAAATGTTTTATTCATAATATAAGTTTGAGTAAAACTTCATTAATTCTGAGGGAAGTTAGTCGGAATTTGAAAAAAATAACATACTTTTATTGGAAAAATAGAGGTGTATTTTTATTTATTTGAAAAGCAGAGTTACAGAAAGGAAAGGAGGGAGGGCAGTTGGGAGGAAGAGAGAGAGAGGTCTTCTATCTGCTGTTCAGTTCTCAGATGGTGGCAAATGTCAGGGGTGTGCCAGACTAAAGCCAGGAGACTATTACATGTGTAAAGGGGCTAAACTACTAGGGCCATCTTTGGCTGCCTTTCCAGGTGCATTAGCAGGATGTAAGATAAGAAATGGAGTATCCAGGATTTGACAGGGGACTAATATGACTGATGTGTCACTGGTGTTAGTTTTAACAGCTATGACCACACTATTTTGCGTTCTGTGATTGCTTAACTACTGTTAATAATGATGTGGATAAGGAAACAATGAGACATTAAGGACTGCCAGAACACAAACTTGCCCACAAATGTGCACTGGCCAGTCCCAATATCCTTCTCTTCTGATCCAACTTCTGGCTATAGACTTGGCACACTCACTTCCATCATGTACCAGATGCCAGATCCTAGAGAAGATAATATGAGCTGCAAATCCACTTTATCTGATTATTCAATTAGGGCACCACTCCCTACGCTACAAAAGAATAAGCCTGATGTTGGTGGGGGCATTTCTCCCTCATGAGGTAGGAATCGCTACACTCCTTTTTGAGTATTCCTTTTGAGTACTGTGCAGTAGCATTCCTTTAGCTAAATCATGCTTTCCTACACACCTGCACCTATGTCACCTTGATTTCCTTTGTGGAGGCAAGATCCTGGCCAGAACCTCACAACAGTGAGGTTGTGAGGTAGCATTTGGACTGTGACTTCTTGGGTATCAAATGGTTAGTCATTAATTTTTGCATAACTAATTGCTTTCAAATGCTTTATATTTATTAGAAAGGAAACACATTCAGAAAATGCAAATACAGTAGAGTAGCGAAAGTGTGGTAGAAGGAAAATCACATTTGCTTATTTACCATATTTTATGGTTTCTGAAATACATGAAACCTATGTGTTCAGTTATAATAGAATTAATGTCTATAACTTAATTATTTTACTAATATATGCACTGTGGGAAAAAGTGAATAATTTACAAGCATAAATTGCAACCTAATATGAGTCCAAATTGTCACAAGTTTTACATTGTTTAAATCCAAAATGTATCCAAATTTGGCTAAATTTCTACCTGTAACTTTAAGTCTGGCATCTCTGATTATGTTCAAAGAAAACTGATAAGTGTATATAATACTAGGAGAGCCTAATATAATAAATCATCTATATTTGTATCAAAAAGATATCTCAGATTTTTCTTATTGCTTCATCAACTCCTTGATTAAGAAGCTCTAAGCCGTCAGGATGGAATTTTTAAGGAAACATACCTAATTTGTAAATTCATACCCAAATGTCTCAAAATTCAACCTATCAATACAACATAAGTTATGACTATGGGAAATAGTTATAGGTCACATGGAATCAAACTCTTATATAATTCTTATCCTCCATGAGTAAGATGTTAAGTGAGTGAGATTTTCTTCTAGCCAATTAGTTACTTCTTGAGTGTAGTCTACTAAATGAAATACTATGTAATTAACTCTAATTATATCTCACCAGTAGCACATTCTTTCATTTGCTAAAAGAAGTCAAATCTTGTTAGAGAAATAATCCTTTCTCACATAGTGGGTGCTTTCTGTTTTATCTTAACTTATTAAGAACATCTGTTAAGTATTTGATAGTGCTAATTGTCCTTACTGTAAAAACCTTCAATTGCAACTTAAGATATACAATAGAGTGGTGGGTTATGTTGTATATTTAGCATTATCAAGCCCAGAATATAAATAGTGATTTTCAACCTTGCTTTAGATGAACATTAGCCTTATCATCAAAAGGTTGAAGGAAAGTATTTGTTCTATGAATATGTTTTTATGATTCTTTATGAAACTTTTCATTTTTAAGAAGATATTCATTACTAATTTGGAGAGCTTAAAAAGCAACCTCAAAATAGAAGCTAGTGAAACAAGAATGTAGCCCGAAAACTAAATCATTTGTATTTCTCCACTGAAATCTTTAATTTTTTGGCAATGTACACATTAGCCACTCAGATGTCAAGTACTTGAAATTCATGGTACAAACACTGACCTTGTGGTTTTACTTTTCTTTGAACGGGAAGTGATGCAATGATGTCTCACAAAGCAGAACAATTCCTAGTTGTAAAAACTAATTAAAATTGCAGGTGAACTATGAAATCATGGGTTCTTTTCATCTGGTACAGAGCATAAAATAAAACAAATGACAACTATTTCCTCATTTAAAAATAGCCGTATTGCTAGAATCTTTAGAACATATTTAGTTAGATGCACACTGAAGTTCAAAATAAGATTCCAAAGAGATAGTATGAAATTAAACATCAGAAGATATATCTCCCAGAAGACCTTTTACACTTGTAAGGGAGAATGAGTTTCTGAACATTTACCATAGGAAGCATATCAATTGCTTGAAGTACTTAGAAAAAAATAGAGAGCTACTCAAAAATGTGCATTGAGAAACTTTGCATATTTGCATATGCCAATTACAGTGGATTTCCTATTTTTTAATATGGCATTTTATAATGACTTGATTTCTCACCTTTGACAAAAATTCTCCTTCACATCTTCCTGCACTGCCCTTGATTCAGAGCAATTATGATGTTAAATGAACTAGCAAATGTAAAACTGAATAATACTCTGTCAAAAAATGGAGCAAAATAAACGTGGCATACTTAGTGAAGCATTTTCATCCTTTTCCTTATTACTCCAGAGCAACTGCATAGTTTGAAAAATTATGACATTCTGATTATAATATAGATAATATCTTGGTTACCACGTTACTTTGCTAAATTCATATGTATTGTCATCATATTTTATACACATTGAGAAATACATAGCTCAGAAGAATGATACTGGACAACTACTGAAAAAGGGCATTGGTGACGAATGGATCTGTTGCTTCATTTCAATTTACTAAGTCTTAGTGGCCAAGGCAAAGACTTGTGTTACTTCAAGGAGCATCAATGCTCTCTGGCAGAGAAAGTCAATAAAATACTGTAAACACTGTGAAGTGATAGAAAAGAAATAGTAAAAATGAAAAGAGTAATGAACTGAAAAGAAGATAGAAATTAAATGTGGCAACATAATTTATTTTTTTTTTCTTGAAATGTGTATCATAGCATTATATATCAAGACATCTAGTAAGGAATTAAAACAAAGAACTCATGTAAACCTCTTGAGTCTATTGGTACTTTCTCTCTTGTATCATTAAAAAAATGGGGCTAAAGGAGCTGCTTGTAAGTACTGAAGTCAGAATGTAAATTCCCTGAGTCTGGCCCCAAAGCACATCTCCATAACATACATGTGATCATTTCTCACCATGAATAATTGTACACGAACATTGTACAGCAACAATGAAATGTATTCCTCTTCAGGGAATATACAACAGTAAATAATAATGCTTTATCATTGAAAAGAATTCTATTCAGGCTGAACTATACTTATACATATTTACATATGATATATTAAGATGACCCCTATGTGGTGTAGAGTGAAAAGAATAAAAACGCCATCATGAATGTGAGGTGTTAGACTGAGCTGCTGTTGAACAGCTTGTTAAGATACCACTCGGAAGGCTGGCATTCCATATTTCAGTCCTCGTTATTCTAATCCTGATTCAAGTTCCTGCTAGAGCCTCAAGGGAGGCAGTAGAGGATGACTTGAAGTGCTAGGAGTTGTGCCACTCTGTGGGAGGCTCATGTGCGATTCAGTAGTCCTAATTTTCCTGCATTGGCCTGGCCCATTCCTGGTTGTTGCAGGTATTTGGAATTTGGAATTTGGGAATTCATCAGTTGATTGAAGACCTTTCTCAATTTTTCTCTCTCTTTACCCTACCTTCCTTACTTCCCTCTCTGTGCTTTAGCTATGTAGCAATTTAATTTTCTAAAAAAAAAAAAAAAAAAAACCCATGAAAATAATCCCCTCAGTGCATAGTATTTAAAAATATCAAATCTTCCTTCAGAAACCTTAATAAAAATCTTCTTGTACAATGGCAAAGGCTAGCTAACAGTCATAGAATGTGAGGATTTCCACAATTTTAAAAAATTCCTTCTAACCTTGAGATTGTGGCTAACAGGATCATTATAATACTTTTATATTCCAAATGACCCATCATAGCTGACAGAATAGTTTCCGAAAGTTTGAGTTTCTGTTTTGTTTTTCACTGTTCTGTTTTGTTGATAAATAGAACACCCAAATGAAAATTTAGAAACTTCTGGTTAATAGTCAAAAGATGCCCTCTATTATTTTCTTTTCTTTTTCTTTTAAATTTTTTTTTAAGGATTTATATTTTTATTGGAAAGGCGGATATACAGAGAGGAGAGACAGAGAGGAAGATCTCCTGTCCGATGATTCACTCCTTAAGTGAGCACAACGGCCGATGCTATGCCGATCCGAAGCCAGGAGCCTCTTCTGGGTCTCCCACGCGGGTGCAGGGTTCCAAAGCTTTGGGCCGTCCTCAACTGCTTTCCTGGGCCACAGGCAG